TCTGTTACTCCCCCTCAAGATGGAGTGTGAGGAGCAATCACACCCATCTTGGACAATGCTGGAAACATCAAGGAAGACGGCAAAGCTTTCGTAAAGAGATCAGCTAGTTGATGGGATGAACGAACTGGTAAAAGCTTTAGAAAACCATCAGCAACACGATCCCGAACGAAATGAAGATCAATTTCGATATGCTTAGTACGTTCGTGAAAAGTGGGATTAGAGGCAATGTGAATCGCCGCTTGATTATCACAAAAAATCACAATCTGATCATTGATAGAAATCTGAAAATCGCGAAGCAACTGAGTTAACCAAATCAGTTCACTGGTAGTGGCTGCCAAAGCACGGTATTCAGCCTCAACTGATGAACGAGAAATAGTAGTTTGTTTCTTTGCCTTCCAAAAGATTAAAGAGTCGCCAAGAAAGACACAAAAACCAGTAAATGACTTCCTTGTGTCAAGACAAGCGCCCCAATCCGCATCAGAAAAGGCTCTTAATTTGAATGAACATGTAGAGGAGAAAAGAATCCCCTGACCTGGACTAGCTTTAATGTACTGCAACAAGTGATGAACAGCATCCAAATGTGGCTGCCTGGGACTGGAGACAAACTGACTAAGCTTATGCACAGCAAATGTAATATCTGGTCTGGAAATGGTAAGGTAAAGAAGACGACCTATCAGTCTGCGATACATAGACACATCAGTAAGTAAAGTCCCTTCAGTGGAACTCAGCTTGAGTATAGGATCCATAGGGGAAACAGCAGGCTTACAAGCCAGAAAACCTGTATCTTCCAGTAACTGAAGGGCATATTGCCTTTGTGACATGAAAATACCCTTATGTGATCTGGCTATCTCCAGCCCAAGAAAATACTTCAAACGGCCAAGGTCTTTCAGTTTAAATTGTTGATGAAGAAAACATTTCAAGGAATCAATAACATTCTGGTCTGCACCAGTGATGAGTATGTCATCAACGTACACCAATAAGGCAACAAAGGCACTCCCAGTTCCTTTAGTAAATAAGGAGTAATCCGACTTGGACTGAACAAAACCATGCTGCACAAGGGTAACAGAAAACTTTTCAAACCATTGGCGAGAAGCCTGTTTCAGGCCGTAAATAGATTTGTGCAACCTACATACCAAATTCTCCCCCTGAATCCTAGAGCCAGCATACTCTATATACCCCAAAGGTAAATCCATGTAAATTTCTTCAAATAGGTCTCCATTAAGAAATGCGTTAATGACATCAA